TTGCTAACGTGTATTGTGCATTCGCCATTGTGGGTTTGTTCATGAGACGCCTGGGTAATCTCTTATTGACGATTATCCCGAACCTTCAAAGCCTTATCTAATACACTACCGAGATGATTACAAGCATATTTCTCCCTTGATTTCACAAGATCAACTGCGTACATTAAAGTTGACTGAGGACACAATTTCAAAGTGAAAATGCAAGGAACGTTTTGTATGCTGTTATTTCTTGCATGCCCCACTTCCTTACCATTTGTACTTCACTTTTATTTTTGTACATTTTGCGTACTTATACGACATTTTAGACATTTTTGTAACTTAAATACTTACCTATACCATTTCAAAGGAGTGTTTAGGGGATTCGACTGGCAACCTGTCGTAATTACATCCCCTCTCTCTCCCGCACTCCGAACCCAACGTCCTAAACAAGTCGACTCCACCATGCAGGTGGTCTGAAAACGCGGGGATTGATGTTGTAACTTACCATAACCACAGCCCAGGTACTATCTAAAAAGCCCACAGACGTGTTCCGCCTGTATACTACCACTGCTTTACACAGATGCGAGGGGTGCGGTTCATCAATGGGCCTCTTTGCTTTCAGTTTTTTCTTTCTGGTTGATATACGGGATTTGAAAGTTCTGCTCTTTAGCTAGTACCGGTGCCGTAAGGATAGTAAATAACAACATTAATAAATACTAATAATGTTTGCAGGCAGAGACTGACGGAGTTCGGCCCAAATATACACATCAACTTTCCTATGGACCTTACACGTACCAATGTATACCGAGAACATACATTGCATTAAAAAAAAAACTGAATGAAGAGATTATTAACCCTCCCTCTCAACTACAGGAACCATATTACACTGGTAAATAACTGACTACTCCATTTTCCATGTCAGTGCATGAACCTGCAGATGAATGAATAAACTATTGTTTATCAAACTTGCTTTTTAATCGTAACATGGACATTTTCGCGAGACGAAAAACGGACTCACAAAACTGGAAAGGTTTGCAAACTGGCCTCACTGTAATGCAGGTCAGCAGGTTGCTGATATACAGATGAAAAAAATAAAGTCGACCCCAAATAGACAATACCGACGTAATACTAGTCAGCTGAAATAACAGCAACCATAGTGAAGTATTTTCTTCTTAGTTTTATTCAGCATATTTTCGACCTCAGGCGAATCTTCGTGACAGCTCATTTAAAATATTAGGTAATCAGCTCGTTGCGAATTCGTTCTAGTAATTAACGGATGAACGAATAAACAAAAATATCTGACAGTTATTCACACAGTACAAAAAGTATATATATATATATAAACGGTAAACAAAAGAGAGGCAGATGAAGGTGCATACGAACCTCATTTCTCCGAATTGTCTGCTGATAATTTTCGATAAAAAGATGCAGCTCGTCGTTCAGGCTCGCCAATTTAGAAAAATCCGTGTCATCGTCCCCGGGACTGTCGGTTGATGTTTCACTTATACTTGCAGTAATAAGTGCGTGAACTTTCTTCTCCAGGGCCTTCAAACGCTCAACAACGACCTGGACAGAAAAAAACAACGACGATATCCGACTACGTACTACCTGGAAAGAAAACGTCTTTCTAAACTCGCCCAGTGCATTTCACAGGTCAGCGTCGTATGCTTAACGTAACAAAGCTTACTTCGAGATCGCGCCTCTGTGTCGCATCAACCGCCTGAAACATGTTCATTTGTTGTTGCAACATCTGGAACCGTTGAATGGTCTCCCTTGCGTCCGAGAGTGTCTGTGAAATATCATTTTTCTCTGTCAACTCAGTTACAGCAGCATTCGTTTTCGCTGCAACAGAAGCTTCTGCTGCTGCAGTTGCTGCTACCGAGGATGCAGCCGAAGATGTCTCGGGTTGATTTTCCACTATCGTCACTGATGTTCCTGCTGCTTCTGACCTGTTTTCGTCCAAACTCCGTTCCACCGTCTTCTGAACAGTAGAATACAAAAAAGAGATGTTTGAGTGTTATAATCTATATAACAACATACGAAAGTTACACAAACAAGTGCATCCATGCAGAGCACATAAAAAAAAAAAACAACAGAGCAACACTGATCTAATCTGATCAAAACCGCCCGTCAATGAGATGGACAGTTTGCAGCTAGGTTTCCACTTATTGGCTCGTTCTGTTGCACCATCTGCATTTCCGAACTCTGTCGCCAAAAAGTTTGATTCTGTCGCTTTAGTTTCGCCACATATTCCCCCACCGGACTACCTTCATCCGGATGTTTGTCACTCACAACGATTTTCCCCACCAACTAATATCCACAGCATTGATCCAACAGTTAAAATCTTCCCAAAATAAATGGTTCCAAGCAAATATTCAGGCCAATTTAGGCAATATTGCTATCTCCCCATTACACAAACAGTTGTCGTCCAGGCAACAATGTAAAGAGTAAATACCGTTTCATTTTCACCGCAGAGCATTTTCTCGAATGAGTGGAACTGCTTGACAGGATCTTGAATTTTATCATTCACTCGCATCAGCTCAGCAAGCACTTTCTCCTCTTCCAAACTCCGCTCCGCCCTCCCTCGAGAATAACAGTACAAAAGAGAGCTCTTAGTGATATATTCACGATGACAAAGTGAGAAAGTGGTACAAAGAAGTGCATTCATGCAGTGCGCACCTAAATAAGGCCAATAGAAAAAAGATGATGCAATCTGATTAGCTTGTTTCCCACTGTCAAAAAGACCCCTTAGTCCATAGTAGAGCCTAAGACCGAACAGTCCATTGCCCGGTAATCACCCGTCAATCAAATGGCCAGTCTGCAGCTCGTCGTTCACTTGCTTCAATTAAACAGGAGCCATTTCGTCCGCTTCAGCGAAGCCCATATACATTTTACTAAGCACTTTATGGAGGAGGGCGTGAACTTTCATCAGCAGAACACATCAAAATGCCATTAGTTCAAGTGCAAAAAAGAAGCAGCATCGATCAAACTGTCATCAATGATATGCCTGATGCTTCCGATCTGCTTTCCTCCAACCTCTACTCCACCGCCCTCCCAGACAACGAATGTAAACAGAGAGGTTTCAATGTGATATCACGGAAAACGAAGACGCAAGGAACCGATCAGAAAGGGAGAGAGACGCTTTAGTGTGAAATTATCTTTCCACAAGTTTCAATAGCATGTCCCACAGGCCCCGTTGCAGGAATGCAGTGTATGATGCCTGCAGTAACCAGGCATCATGGCCCATGCGAGCAACAACTGGAGAGTTGAGATCAGGGAGAGCAGATGCTTCCTTCTCTGATTGACCTATGACATTTCTCACACGCCATACATACCGCCATTTCGCCCAAAGTCTCCGTGATTCCGCTGTCTCGCGTCCTCACTATATGTACTGTCTATAACCAACCTGCTCTTTTGCATACAGAAGACTTACTTTTCGATGTTACCACCTACTACAAGTACGAAATCGCTTAACGTTTCGGTTGTTTGAGTTCGTCTGTTTT